TCTACTTAATTAATCGTTCATCAAGTTCTTCGAATTTTCAATTTTCAAGTCTATTTACTTTCTTGATCAGACACATCCAAATTACTATCGAAAAACCTTCAACTGAAAACCAAGAAAGGACGCATGACTTCGAGGGCACCGAACTGATTCCTACACTTCACGAATATCTGAAACGTCAGAAGCACTATCGGATCCGGTTTCCCAGCCGTTGGATACTCACGTTTTCCTTCCTCGCTTTAACCACGTTGTCGACGACACTTATGAAATATTGACGCGCGCTGTCGTCGAACATACGAATCCGTAGCAGCTTGAACAGCGAGGGGAAATTATTTCCGAGGATGAGCCTCAGCGACAGCGAGGACAGAAAATTCATCGTTCTTTTGGCGAACGTGTAGAACTCGTTTCCCGGATCTCTCATCGAGTCCGTCACGAATCCGAAATTACAGCTAGCCACCGCGTCGTTGGTGTATCGGCCGAAAATCTCCTTCATCTCGTACACTCGTCCCTGTCTCGCATCGTCCGCGACGAATCGCGTGAACTTGTCGGCGCAGTCGTTGATCAGGTGAAACATGGCCTTCAGTTTGCTGGCTGTGAAACTCGGGCTGAGTATTTTTCTCATTTCCCTCCAAGCGTCGCCGCGAAGGAAGAACAGGCCATTGCCCACCAAAGGGTCCATCTTCTCGTCCACGACGCTCACGTGATCGGTGAAATTGTCGAAATTCTTCACGGCAATGGAGGTGATCAGCTCCGGCTCCCTGATCGCTATCACCGGTGTCACGAAGTGATACACACCGAAGTACTTGACGTTTGGGAAACGATGGTACAGGTTTTGCAGGCACTCGTGCATCGAAACTTTACGGAACACTGTCGGCGCCATATTTCCTATGATCGGAATCGGTGTCTCGTGCGGGACGTTGAGCTCCTTGAAACGAGTCATGGGCTTCCATAGGTAGCGATAGGCGAGCAGAAAGCCAAGCACGAGAGTCAGAATTAACGTCGACGGATCCATTGTCGAATCTGGATTGGATTTGCAACTTGGTAGATCGAGAGATAGATACCATCAGATCAGCTGACAATGGTGAGGATATCTGACCGAGAACTGTCGCTATTACGTGCGATCTTCCGTTTATAACTGCGTAGGAATTGGCGCTGATGTCATAGAAACGAGATAACAAGTTAGACTTGATTAGTGTTGGATGAAGTTACAATTATATAACGGAGATGTATTTCATCTTGAGCTTGACATTGGAATCAAAGTGGTCGAAGCGACCAATTTGTAATTTTTGTTAGATATTTTATAGACGTAAAAACAGGGTATTTTTAAAGGTTTCAATAATTTTTTCTAAAATATATAAATAGCTTGTAGAGTCCATTATATTATAAAGTTTCTCTACTTTTTTGACTTCGATGTTTCTGATGAAAATTTTATGCTTTGATCGTCAGTAGTTGTAGTTGAATGTCGCTAATGGAAATTAAATCGAAGAATATTATCATTAATAAATAACCACTGAACAAGAATTTCATTGATTCACTCGTCAATTTAAGTATCATTTAAATTGTAATTATAACAGTTATTTAATTTTATAGGCTGTAGCTACGATCAGTTTCCGATTAATATGAAATTTCAGGAGAACGGACAGGACTTCAAAATATAAAATTTCAATTTCCGGTATTTTCTAGCTTTCGAGATGTTAATAAAAGTTTCGGTATGATATATCGAATCCTATCCGGGAAACAATATCCATCTTTTATTGCACAATATTCGATTATATGATGTAAATACTACATATTTTACTATATACAATCAATTATCCATAAACGCATAAAAATTTGCAAGATCTATTGTCAGATTAATTGAAAAATTAGAATCTTGAAATTCCATTTTTCTAACGCGCATGATAAGTAAATTGAAATTGAATTAAAATTTAAACAAATATTACACATTGACATCATATTATGAGAGAAAACGGTCTTTTTTTTACGTATATGATACTCTGTCATGTGAACATTTAATTTTGTATCTATATATAACCTCTCCGCTGTTAAATTAAATGTCACGCAATCAACAAGTGTCGACATATATATACATATACGATGATATACGATTCATTTATGATCGTTTCAAATCGCTTGTAGACATACGAGTATTATAATATAATACAATTGCTCTTAAAAAGTTATAAGATAACAAAACTATTACGTAATTGCGAGGACGATATTTTTCAAATAACTTTAGAGATTATTTTTGTTCGTTCCGAATCGAATAAATGGTTTTTTTTTTTTATTAACTATGAACTTTACAGAAAAAGGCGATTAAATAAAAAACTATTGCTACTTTAATGAAAGAGGATATTATATTTAATAAAAAATGCATTATTTAAAATGTTGAAATATTTATGCATTTTTGGAAAATTTAGAGTTCTCAAAAAAGCAAAATATTGGATCGATCCCACAAATACGATTTCCCTCCGGAATTAAGTTTAAAATAATCGATGTTGAAATTTAAAAAAACTCGAAATTTAAAGAAACTTGATAGAAAACGATAAT